ATGTAATACTTAGCGGATCATTGTGGCTGTGCTGACATCACTCCTCCCTTCAATGATTCATCGACAAATGCCTAGGCAAGCTGTCTTGAAATTATGTCTGATTTTGTGCTATGATTCATATTCACGTAATATAAAATATGTAATTTTACTGTAGAACATTGCAAGAACTCTTGCACACTCATTCAGACTGATTTGGGAGTGACTTCATGAACATAGCCTTTTCCTGCCAAGTACAATTGGTGTAGTAAATGGTCCTACACTCTTTGACATCAAGTGTCCTTGACTGAATTAAGTGTTAGATTTACAGTTTCAAAGGCTTGTAGAATCAGAGAATTACTGGCAATAAAACATAAAAGTTCACCAATATATAAAAATAAAATGCTGAAATAGAAAAGTTTTCCTTTGTTGCTTTGAGCCCAGACAAGAGAGGTAAAAAAAAAACTGACTACACTACCCAAAATGCAGCATGTGCCCTGTCTCAAAGGACCAATAAAGTGCAACGTTCGTTCTGCTGTGGCTGCGAGGGGGGTAAGAGATAGTGAGCGAGAGAAGCAGTGTGATTACAGAGCAGTAAAGCGAGTCTCAGTCTCCCTAAAACACACACACACAGGGCCCGTCAATCGGCAGTTGAAAAATGAGGCTCACCTTGAAACGACAGGGGACTCGATTCGCTGGAGCATTCAGTGCTCTGTTACCACTGCAAAGGCGTGGGTGCACACTCATTCACATTCACACACACACACAGGCCTCACTCAGACTGCATGCGTTGTAGACAATTCTTGAACAGCCCAAACCCACCAACTGGTAAATTAAACTCATTGCATGTATAAACAGATTTCATAAAAAGCTGCACCCTGTTAAGAAACTCCCTGTAGTGTTTAAAGGCTGTGTGTGCGTGTTTGTTTGTGTGTGATGACAGATGCTCAAACACACTTGCAGTGCGTATTGATTACTGGCAAGCGGTGTGTGCCGCTCAGACCTCCTTTTTCCTTCCTTCTCTTCACGCATCGCTCTCTTCCTTCTCTCTTTATTCTTTAACAAACTATCAGTCACTTTTGGAGATTTCTTAAGAACTTAAGAAAATGAGCCTTTCCATCTCATCCTCTGACACACACAGACTCTCGCATTGCTTTCATCCTGTCCGTGATCCTTCTCCTTCGTCTGTTCTCTGTCCCTTATCCCCCC